ATTTGAAATGAGAACTCTGCTGTAATAGAACTGAGGGCTGGTTTTTTTTTTATGTCTGTTGTGTGATTGGTAGCAAAGCATTTTCAAACTGGAAATATACCTCAGTGGTTTGGTCAAAAGCCATGTAAAAACCAGTTGTCATCACTGCTGATATCACAGGCCTAAAGAGGCTGGTAATATGTTTGTTTGTTTTGTCAATTCTTACAATTTATGGGGGAGGAAGAAATGTAACAGGATGTAACAGTGTTTGGCAGTTGCCTCCATAACTGGATTCTGAAGTTTTGAGCCCCYTCAGAATTCATACTAGGTAAAGCAACTAATTCTTGGGGTTCATTACATCTTCCTACATGCATGAAATGGAATTTCAGACTGGTAACCAAGACAACTGTCTGGAAATCCCATTTTCATTAGCATATGCCAGTTGTACTGTGAAATTTTGTACATCACATGTTTGAATATTCTCAAGAGTTTGCTAGGCAAATGCATTTCAGTACTGATACTCAGACTATAAATTTGGGATAGGATTTATGATTATTTTTTATTTTGTTGGTTTGTTTCTCAAATAGTGAATAATGGCATTATTGTTTCAAGACTAGTATGAACATAATTGCTGATGTTCTCACTTCTTGTTGAAGAACAAACGAGTAGCAATGGCAGCTATAATCTTACAGGATCATGCTGATGTCTCTAGACCAAAAACTATATTGAATGTGTAAGGAAAGTCTAATCTGTTTTCCTTATTTTTTCTCCCTTCCACTTTTTCTTGGACATGTAAATGGATTATTTGAGAATTTGTACTAWGTTGAGAATCAGATGGTTTGAATCACATGAGAGCACACCTTGCTGTGAAATTAAACACTTGACACAATATATAAGAGGAGGGAAATGAGCAAAATGTGTCAAGGTAAGGACAGCTGCTCTAAAGCATCCTTGTAAGGATGTTTTTATTTATTTCTGAATATGACATGTAACAAATAATCCTGTCCAGAGTAAAAGAAACTCTTTGTGGTTTGAGCCACTGTCTGTCCTTTTAGGACAGTTTTCACTCCAGGAAATGTGTTAAACTTAAGGGAGAAGACATGCCCAGTGCACTAAAAAATGCAGATATAGGGAGAAAGAGCTGCTTCTTAATTGTTCAGTGATAATAGAATTGTTAGTGACTGGATCGCTTTCCTAAATGGAAGTTATGGAGATGAAGTAAAACTTATTTAGCTACAATTATACTTTAATAGTTAAGACTTCCACCATGATTGTAAGAAATTCTTTGTGCCTACTGGACTTGTTTGTTGTTTGGTTTTTTGTTTGCTTTATTTAAAGGAACTCTTATGACACTGCTGAAGCAAWTAAGGTGAAACTTCAAACTGTCTGACGACATCACAGTTGAGAGCCCCTTGCACTGGGCTACTTCTCCTTCTTAACTGCAGGTTAAGTTTGCTGTGAATTCCACAAGGCCTAGACTAGCCTTAAATAGGTGTCTTGAGAAGCAATACAGGTCAGGACTCAAATGCTTTAAAACTGTACAAACTGGATTATGAAACACTCAGATTGATAAGTGAACACTAATTATTTTAATATAGCCACGAAACAGTCAATGTAAACTGATAGCTGGAAAACAAAAAGGTGTGAGAATACATCTTAGGTCCCAGAGGCTGATATTGTATTTTTTGTCTGTTGTGCAATAATACAGTTGAAATGGTATCACTAAACAGCAACGCTTTTGATACTTGAAAAGAAATTACTGGTTATTTACTGGTTATTTTTTTCTTACTGTGAAATGTTTGCACTGTCTGAACTTTCTGGTTAACTTTATAACTGTTAAAATTTTTAACTGGTGTTAATTTATTGTGCTCAGTATTTGATATGCTGGTCTTCTGTCTGTCTAAATGTGAAATTTGTCATATTTAATTGAATATTTTTATCTTCTACACAGTTGTTTATCTTGAGGGCTTCTCTTCTTTTAATCTCTATTCCTGAGAATTAACTGAAAGATGGCTTAGAAAGYTGATGCTTACCTACTTCTGAATTGTATACATTTAATTAAAGAAAGGGGATGTAGTGCTTTGTATGGACAGGGAAAAATCCAGGCCTGTTGGAGCTTTTGTGGTCAGGTTCACCAGTACCTGCTGAGTAGCTGCATCAGTGAATCCAGTGAAGTAAAACTGCTACTGCCTTAATAATCTGAGATTTCAGTCRTAATTTCTTTATTGTGCAGCCCTTCAGCTGCCTGTGAACTGCAGAACTGGACATGACTTTAGGGGGTTGGGTGTGAAAGGTACTTTAGTCAGAAAAATGCAACATCTATCCCACCAGTGGGTTAGCAGCTGCTAGCAGCTATAGCCTTGGGGGAATTGCCAAGGAATGTGTCAACTTAAATTGGCCATGAATTGGTAACTGTCATACAGAATATTTGAGTAAAGCTGACTACCTCAGTTCTGTTTGTCTTTGCATTCAGCTTTTTAACCTGCTGTGAACTTCCAGATCTTCACATGAATTAAGTAAAAWCATGTCTCAGGTTTTTAAGAGTAAAATTACTGCGGTAGGAAGCATAAGCCATTTTTGAGTATAGAACATAGCTAAAATTGTAGCTTAAACGGATCAGTTATGTAGCCTTAAGAGTAGTTTCTGCTGTAAAATTCAGAATTCTTTTAAATTAATGCAAAGTTTGCTGTGTTAGGTGTCCTGACCACATGTGGCTAGTCCCTCCTACTGCATCTCTTAATTTGGAAATACAGCCCATCTCAGCCTTTGTGTTTCCACCAGAGAAGACTGGGCAGCAGGAGYCCTGGAAGTTGTGCTGAGATGCATGAGTTTGCTCATCTCTAATAGAAACATTCTCAGTGTATAATGTCCACAGGTTTAACTTCTTCATTTTTTAAAAAAACATTCCATGTTTGCTTAGGGAAGTAAATTAGTCTTGCAGTCGTTTTTGATCCCAGTAGTTCAAATAATTTCAATTAGAAGTTGAGGCAAGTCATACTTTAGGAACACATTTTTCTAGTGTTGCAATTACAAGGAGGAAGGATAGCTTTTGGCTGGAGAAAGCAGCAAGTAAAATCACATTGAAAAGCAGCAATTCATTCCTCCTGAAATGAGTCGAGGTATTAGGAGACTGTCACAGCCTTTGATGGAGGTTAATTACTGAAAGAGAATCATATCCCCCATTAATTGACTGTCAGCCCAACAAAGCTCATTCTTTCTGCTGAGCACTGGTAAGTTGGGAAGACTGATGTCTGAGAGCAGACATATCCATGATCCCTTATGAGGGCAAGTTGTGTTTAAATCTTCCTGTCCTGCAAATCTTTCTGCTTGATGATATTCACTAGAGAGGGAGCKGCACATCCTTCCTTCCCCACATTTCCCAGGAGTGACTTCCAGCCAGCTGAGCAGCTCMAGGTCTTTTTTCTGCAAGATTGAACCCCTGGTTTTTGCTTGTCTGGATGTGTGGGTGCCTGCCTGCATGTACATACTGCTCTGCAGGATCTGGGGCTGTTTGTGCACTGAATAATGGGATCTTACACTACCAGACTTCYAAAGTGCAAATGTTGCCTTTTTAATGTGAAGCTTACCTTGGAGATAAAACAACTGTTTTGAGAGAACTGGCTGACCTTGAACATGTGTTTCCTATTTTGGTACAGAATGTAAATATAGAGCTAACTATTTTACACAGATTTTGGCTGGATTGAGAKATAAGGGCTAATTTGTGTTATTTATGGAGTAAAAATTTCCTTATTTTACTGTTTGAAAAAGGTATGTCATGCAAAAGAAGAAAAATCTGTTCTTCAATAAAATATCTGTAGAAAATTAATTCTTCTTGTCCTTTTCTTTGAGAGCTGACAATGATTAACTGCAAGARTAAGTGCAATAAAGGACCACTATTACAACAGTCATTTATTTTGTGAGAATGTTGAAAAATGAAATTACATCAAGTCTGCATATTGATCACTTTATTAAACTGGTATTTGATACACCATGAATGTAAAATACTCTGTGTTATTATTAGCTCATACATGACTTGTCAGAAATTCAGCAGATGGTAAAGTAAGGAGGTTCCTGAATTCTCTATCCCATCCTCAAATATTTGATACTTTAAAACTGTGTAGTATTTCAGTTTTTTGCCAGTTGAAATTGAAGATCATAAATTCCCAGCTCTGTGTGAAGGATTTGGCCACATGATTCCCATTTCAGTGGAAGGAATTGGTGTTGCTCTGCAGAGCCCCGAGCTGTTGGTTGTGWCTGGAGTCTGAGCAGGAGGAGCTGAGCTACTTTTGCTGTTGTTCAGCAGATTCAGGGATGCTGCAGCCACTGCTTTTGGAATCCAAGCTAGCTTTRCTAGCTGTGAGACTGAGACTTTTACAATACATTTGTAATTACAATACATTATAATATATATATTACTCTGGTAAATGTGAAAGACCTAATGTTTCTCTAAAATTAATTGAAATGGTTTTATAATCTACCTCATTTTTTTTCCCTCTTAAGCAATATGGCAGTGAGTACATAGATTAAAAAAAACTTGCCTTCCTCTGCTATACTGGAAAATCGGATAAAGCACAGCAAAAGTAGGTTACTCTTCCTTTTTGTTTGCCTTTTCTCAAAATAGGAGTCTTTCAAAAGGGTATTAAAGCTTATAAAATGTGCCACTGTTCWTTTTGTAGGTGGTTTTAACTCTGAAAAACATCAGGTTTATAAAGTTACCCAAGCACAGCTATATGGTTTAAAAACGTCAGTGTTTCTAAAATTTATGCCACTAGTAGCACAATAAAAAACCCTGGGCTMTGAACCAGGTATTTTTGTGTTTAAAATTCAGAAGCAGATGAAGATCTCTCTTCTGGAGTGTAAGATGTGCTGCTTAAGCAGGGTCAGGACATGACTGCAGTCTGGAAAGGGTGGGGAGCTGCACTGGTGTCAGACCAGTGGAGTTTCCYGGTGGAGCTAAAATGCAGCCSGGTCTGAAATGCCRGTTTACACGAGTTCTGTGCGTCTAYAGCGGTCRTTTCCAYACAGSTATAAAAAGTCAAGTATCACAGAGGGTTTGTCACTGTTACTGGTTGGACCCTCAAAGTATCAGCAAGTGCACAGGCTGCAAGCTGAGCCCTGGGTACATCTCCCTGTCAACCTCCACTTCTCCCCTCTCCGCTGATACCAATTAATGACAAGGAGTTGCTGAGAAAATCTGATGTGAACAAAATTGTCTTTGGTTATTCCAGATTTTTTTCCTGTGTTTTAAAGAAATAACAATAAGTTTAATGAAGGTCAGATTACTACTGAGGATTCCTAGTGTCCCAGATTTGAAACAAACAATACTCCCATCCTAAACCCCTTCTTCATTTCTGCACCCTTCAAACTGTTTTATTTATACATCTGATGAACATTCACGTGTGTCTGAGCACAGTAATAGTACCTATTTTTCCAAAGAAATTTATAGTGGGAAATGAAATCAARGAAGGCCTAAATATCATAAAACACAGAATATTATTTGTGTTTGAGGGGAATTATGGAAACYCAACATTTGGTCATGTGATTGCATCTAAATGCTCTTTGATTTTTTTTTTAACTAGAATTTATCTGTTTGAATGAGTACTTTGATTTTTCTGCATTTTGTGCCATTTTGTAAGTAACAGGCAGAATGTTGAGGTTTATGTGAGCCTTTCAGCTCTGCTGTGGAAATTGCAAGGGGAACTGTTTTCAGTCAACAAGAAAATAATTGTAGGAAATAMCTATGTTATTAAATCAAATACTGTTAAGTTTCACATTTGTTTCCTATTCCTTGGGTATATAATAATATATAATGTTGAAATTAAAGGCTGATTTTTTTTTTAGCCCCAGAACAAGGGAATTAAATACATTCTTTGCTGCTTTTACAGCAAGTGTCACACAACCTGTTTCTCTACTTCAATTGCCTTGGAGTGGACAGAGGTCCCAGGAARGTGAGAATTCAGCCAGGTAGGAGAAGGGATCTCTTCTCTACATGTGCTCTGGRTGGTTCTGCAGGCACATGATGAAATCCTGGATTGATCGACCCTCGTAGCAGATCTTGTAGATGGTTGTAAACAATGGAAACCTGAAAGAAGCACACAGCAATTAAAATAGTTTTTAAAGTTTATATATACATTTCTATTTTAATGGAAAGAATTTTTTGTTCCACTGAAAGTGGAAAAAATTTGTCTCTTTTTACAATATAATTTTATTATATTGGAGGTGCCTTTATTGGAAGACTACATAGGGCAATGAACAGGAGCTAAAGAGGGGTAACTCATGGGAGTGAGAGCAGAGAAAAGCTGTTTTGGAGACAAAATTCCTATCCGKTATTTTTTATTTTAAAACAGTCTTGCATATCCTCTTTGCCTGCTSGTGCAAAATGGATATATTATTTGCAGTTATTACTGGTATCTAAAAGACWAAAAAGAATTAAAGTGTCTAATGATTTTCTTTTCTTGGCTTAAAGGATTCTTTTCCTTTTACAAGCTGTCTTAGTCATTATGTGGTAAAAAATGAGTCCACTGAATGGCTTGGAGCTGAGCATGTAACTAAGTGCAATTATAGGATAATTATTAGATCAAGTGATTTAAAGCTTCTGTCAAAATGTGCTTTCCTTTTCTCTCTCATTTTTAAAAGATAATGCCACTTGAATCTTCTGTATCTGTTCCAATTCTAWTAAGTTTTTAAGTATTCATTTAGCAGTGTTTGACTTCTCAGTGCTGGTATGAGAGGGAATGGGATGGAGGGAAGTTCAGCTTTTCTGTTGTGTAAACTGAGGTAAAGTCTCAAATTATAAATAATCTTACGTAATTCCAAACAATGAGAAGTACTTTTTAATTTAGCAGCATTTGTGGCACTAAAGCATTGATAACAGCACATGTTACCTATTTCATGCATACAAAAATCTTTGATTAGAAATATGATCCTGACATTTGTACTGATATAACCAAGTTCAAGTTTGCACTGAAAGCAGGATGCTGCAAGCTGCAGTGGTGGTGCACTGAGAACAAGAAACCTTTGACTCCTAGATCATGTCTGCAGGATGTTTCTGTGTATGGCCTTCAATCTTCYTTAGGGGATGAGGATGTCTGGGAGGCTTTTTTACATTATAATTGCTTTTGTTTCCTATGTATGGGCCATTCACTKAAGATTTGGTGATGATCTCCTTGGATCTCTTCCAACTCAGAATATTMTGTGATTRTTTTCCSTGCTGTTCCAGTACATGATCTCGCCTTACTCTGTCTTCTGTYAGGCACTAACAGTATCCCCTGAACCCACTCTCTATCTGTGACTTGTTTCTTCTAACATTGCTCAGCCTTCATCCCATTCAACTGACCCCAGCAATGAGGAGTCAGGCCAGGCTCTAACAGTGCCCCAAGATGTAAAAAGCAAATGTTGCAGAAATTAACAAGATAATTAAACACAAGTACTGTTAGGAGGTTATAAATCACYCATAATTTGTTGTTGATTTAGTTGTTTTTTAAAATCAAAGCACTTACTTATCGAGCATATTTTTCTGTTTCAGRATCTTGTAGACTTCGGCTGAGGTCTGAGGACCTTGCAGCTTTTGTCCRTTCAGCATCTCATTTTCCAGTTCCTCAATGGACTAAAAGAGAGAAGACTGATTACTTGAATCAGAAGGGATACAGCTGTGATACCAGCAGTTATCAAGAAGGTAAACAATTAATGATGCCTAAAACACAGAAGGACTTCTTAATGTGCTAGCATAAAATATTTCAAAATCTTCCTTACTTTTCCTGTGCGAGCAAAGGCTTCTGCTACTTTTCTGTTGCGCCCCCCRTAGCAGGTGGTGATGAGATCAGCGACCCCACAGCTTTCCAAAAAGGTGGCTATTGACACTGGTCCCTTGCAGAACATCTTGGCAAAGGCCACCATCTCCATGAGCCCCAAGCGTATCACTGCTGCCTTGGTGTTGTCACCGAAACTCAGTCCATCRCAGAACCCCGCGCCCACCGCCACAATGTTCTAAAAATGAATCAGTGCAAAATACAGGGGAGAGAAGGAAATGGTCAGGCAAAATGTGCAGCTCATCAGCGTGCACTGAGCTCTAAGGAGATCCCACAAATCTGTCTTCATCAGAGCAAGGGTCAGTTTCCAATGGYCATGAGTTTCTCTTATGAAGCAACAGGTCAATAATGTTGAACGAAAGYTGCTGGGCTTTTAGAAGGTTTTTATAAAATATTTACTGTTTCTCCCATAGGCAAAAGCCAAAGCAAATTGTTTTATACACCAATATCACAACCATGTAGCATGTACACAATTAGTGTTTTGTTTTTCTCCTAGTTCCAAGTCAGGTCTCACTGACCTTTCCATTTAACTGTTTAAAATATCCCACATAGAGTCACACCTTTCTGTGTTTTATTTGTGGGTCCCTGATTTGAGCAGGCATGGATGCTATGTAGATGCTGCAGCAGATGRAATTTTGGCCTTACCTACAAATATTATCAGTAGCAGTGCCCTTGTCTACAGCTCTAAACAGATCTCTCAGGACCCTAAACATCTTCACAGCTCCTCACCATTGTTCTGCATTCTTCCCTCCCACCTTCCAATTCCCAGCTCCAAAATAAATCCCTAAGCAAGTGTAGTTCACTGTGTATGAGTAATATGCCACCTAGTGCTACCACTGCCATGTTTGCTCCAGACATGGATGTACCCCACTGCACGTGTTTATTTTTTAGGTTTTTTTTTAGCAAAGGCAAAACTAAACCAATGATTTCAAGGAGAGAAATTATTTATCATAAAGCAGAAAAAACTCTCTCCCATCTGTTCCTGCCCCCAGTTCTAGTCTGTGGCCAAAAGCAAAATCTGTGGTTTTTTGTTTTGTATGCCAAGAAATTTTATTTTTATATGTAAAGGCAAACAGGACCAATTCTCTCCTAGTCAGTCATCTCCTCTCCTCCRTGGAAAGCTGAATTATTGAAGTATAATTAACTAAATGTATAAAGAAATAGAAARGATTACAGGCTGAAGTCACTTTCAATTAATGTAAAAGCAAACTATTAATCTCACTCAGTAGTGCCCTCACTGGAAGTTTCGTGACTTTGGTATCATTTCTGATCCCACCTGGGATCTCAAAGTGGCCRTTGTTGAATGCCACACAGATGTGCTGCCAACACAGAGCATCACTTCTGATGTGAATTTTCTAGCAGGTTAGTACTTAAACCATGGAAATAATTATTAGTGGAGCTACTATATGTAGTGAGAGTGTTTATTTCGTGTGCTCACAACATGCAGACAAGAAAACACAGTGGACTAAACTCTGCTCTCAAAAACAGATGTGCCTCTGGTAAAATAAAGATAAAAATACAACTATTTTGAAATGCTTTGCCTGGAGCCACATTTTAAAGTAAATTTTCYCTTTCTTAACAGGTTGAAGAACTAGCTCATGAACTATGCATTTTGTCTGTGCTCATTCACTCACATGGTCACAGTACTCAAATTAGACCCCATGGCTTACAGAAGACTCGGGAGAGGGTAGAATTTGGCCCTAATAAACACATTGGCTTGAAAACACTCACTTTTAAGGCTCCACAAAGCTCCACTGTATCAGAGTCAAGCACCACAGTAATCCTGAAATTGGGGGTCTGCATTAGTTCTTTAAAGATTTCCCCTTGTGTTTCGTTTTTGCACCCTGTGGGAAGGAAGGATGAAAGTTAGAGAATTTTTGCAATGTTTTAGAGTGCACACAATTAACTTTAACCTGAAATAAGATTCCTGGGACCACTTCAGCTTTTGTGACCCCAGTCCCAGGGTGTTGCTAAACCAGAGATTTGTGCARTTCCTGCTGCTGGATGCCAATGTTAGATGTAGGCAACTCCAGGGTATTGATCAACATTGCATAATGACACTTTAAAGAGCTTAAAAGTAGATACCCACTAATGCACCTTTCTGCCTGAGAAAGCTTCTACAACCCAAGACCTTGCATAAGACATTATTTACAARCCATTTTCTGCAGAACAATGATATAATTTCTGCTTTGAAAATGTAGACCTGTGTCACTGCTAAGTACTGTTATGGGGCAMAAATGACTATTGCTCATTTGATTCCCAACTACAGGGGGATCCACAGATGATGAAGTTGAAGGTTGGCACTGTTAAAACCTTTTCCCTACCCATTCTATGGAGGTCATATACCCTGTTAGGGCTCTCCTTAGCTGAGCAATCTGTGAATTTTACTGGCCTGGGGCACCACACTCTGGTAGCTGGGAGGTTTCTCCTCATCTCATGAGAAACTTTAGCTTTGCTTCTTCACAATATCAATTCTCTTTGATGTGGCTGCTTCTGGGCTGTGTGGCTTTCCATGAGGGCAAAAGTAAGGGGTAAAGCTCTTTGTACAGTYATCATCACAGAATGGCTTCAAACCAGCCAGCAGAAGTTAAATTTCCCCCAGGAAAATTAATAASAGCTCAACTCTCCTGATCATGTCTAGTCCTATTTGCGCCTAGTTGCTCTTCCCAACAAATGTCCATTTGATACAGTTTTCACCATCACTGTAATATTTTCAAGGCAAAGGAACATTATTGCAACACAATTTATATTTCTTTTGCTTTCCTTAGCTATGGAAGGATGTAACTTTAATTTTGACTGACTTTACAAATCTCTGAGTTTTAAAAACTACTGGATGAACTTTCCAAATCAGGCCAGAGCCAGTCCTGGGAGGATCACTAGAGGCTGTATCTTGGCAAGCAGTCCACATGGGAGGGAGGAACAGAATGTWACTGGGTTTTCTTTTCCAAGATTTGAAGATGGAGAAATACACCTCGGGGAGTGTGAGCACATAGGACTTTCTGATTACACTTCTCTCTGCAGACTGTACAATGTACCAGCTGCTGATGTACTCAGTTGAGCTCTACAAAAAGGTGGCTCTGGCCAACTCCTACAGAAACAGGATTATTTTGATGGATATTTTCAATGGATTAGCTCTCAGCACTGAACTCCCTCGAAATAATCTTGCCTCCCTGAAGGAGCTCAGCAGGCACTGCTCCACTCAGGAGCCACCAAGGACCTGTCACCTTTCCCTGCTTCCTCCAGAGGTTATCCTGTTGCCCAACCACAGGTGACATTAAACCCCAGCTCTAACTGGCTTTTTGCAATAGTTACCAATGGTGGTTTCGCAGAACTTCTCATCAGCCACTTCTTTGGCTATGTTGGCCCCCATCAGCACACTGATCTCTATTTTCAGGTGCTCTCGAATGAGGTCAGAGATRAGCTTCAGGCCATCAGGACCCTCATCAATCCCCTGAAAAGACGATAGCCAAAGCCAGGGTATTAGAATAGGAAAATGACAGCATTGGGTAAGCAGAAGGTGTTYTATTGCCTGCAGCTCTCTGGTTTTAATTGGAAAAAAAAAGATCTTATCATCACTAGTGTTAGCCATGATACAGTGTTCTGGGTTTGTACTTTGGCAGCTGCAAATTCAAGGCAAGCTCGGGGAGAAGGAGTGACAGTCGATCCTGCAAGAGGCCTCAAACCCGTGCTGCCATCCTGAGGCTTATTTTCTTTGATGCTGTATTTTTCCTTTCAGTTAAAWTTCTGTAGTACAGAATCAGACCTTTAAAATTAAGTATATAAACAGTGACTTTTTTTGCAAGATCTAAGTACTAATCTGAGTGCTTTTTTGGTGTTAGTGAGTACACTGAACGGTCTTGGGTTTTTTTAATGTAAATTTGCAGAAATTTCCTTCCTCTCCTACCTTCCTCTCTTCTCCTTACTGTTGCTTACAAGATAATTTCTGTAGAGAGGAAGTGCTGGTACTGAAGTCTGCAAACTTGAATTACATTTCTTTAATTACAATTTTAAGTGGRTTATTTCCTGTAGTGCAATCAAAAGAAGGAGTGCTAAGACTGTATTCCTATGCTTTKCCTCTGGCTTTTAGTCTGACATTCTCTTAAAATATTAATTCCTTTTAAGATTACGATAATCTGGTACCTCTCTTAACCTTAAAAAGAGATTCCTCAGTTCATGCCAGACTGAAATTGCTTCAGTTTTGCAAAATCATTAGTGTTATTATGCTGTTTTAATGCTGCCAAGAACAGCTTTAGCATGTACTTGGAAGAGGCACTCAGAGTTGTCAGTTAAGAGTTATCTGTGACCGTAGTCTGCTGAGTATTTTTTCTGGCAGCAGCACCAGCTTTATGCATCCCTCCCTCTGCCCACTTTCMCCTCCATGCTGGTCCAAGTGGGAAYTGATCCAGGCTAAACAAGACTGGCAAAGACAAATACTCTTAGCCTAGATCGGTTGCCCCATCCTTCCCTCTCCAAGGCCACGAGAGCAGTTAAAGGATGGGCAGAGCTGGGCAAGTTTTAATTCTTGCAGAAAGAAATGCTCRTGGTTGTGCAGCTGAGGGCTGCAGCTCCTACCCTTAAGTTGGAGCTGTTTATTTACTTTGTATTGATTGGGTATTGTGGAGACAACAACTTACCTTGATCAGGGAAATCCCGAATGTCCCAGGTTTTATCTGTCCTGCAATCTGCTCACAGATTCGTCCAATAAATTGATGTGGCAGAACAAACACTAAAATATCTGCCCCTTTTGCTGCTTCAGCCACGTCTGGTACAGCCACCTGGAGCAAGAGGGATAACCAAAATGAGCCCCAGGTAGGAATCCTCAGTCACTGCAAGACACCACCATGCCAAAGGTGTGGCAGATACAGTGCAAATCTCCTTAACTTTAACTGGCCCTAGTGTAGGTGCCAGCCCTCCATGCAAGCAGCTACAGAGCTCTTCTGAAATATCCAAAGCCGTTGAATGGTTTTAGGGTTGGCTTTTTTTAGTTTTTTTTTTGATAATTTAATCCTGTGTGGATAATCTGGGGAAAAATATATACTTTATACATTTGCAATGTCCTGGGAAGCCCCTTTGCTTCTTGATCTGGTTCATGAAGAACCAACCCCATGGTTCTTCTGGAATAAGTRGTAGCACTGGGGAGCACAAGAGAAAACTGGGGCAGTGAGACAGAGGCTCTTCTAGAAGTCTTTAGTTTCCACAGGTCACCAGCTGAGTTACTGAGGAGCAAACTATATCAAAAGGCAAAGATTATCATCGTCTTTGGGCAGATATATATCTTTGTTTTAAATATATAATAATTTTCYCAAGAGTTACAACAACCTACCCAACATGCTTAAAGTCTACCTCACTTCTCCTTCTGTCTTCCTCCAGCTGGCATTACTCAGAACAACAATTCAAGCCAGGCTACAGAGGCAACAGCARGTGAATTTGAGCCTGCTGGAAGCAGTTTACAGTTGGAAAAAACATCACTCTTGGATGCAGCCTTGGAGCACACWGCCTTAGCAAGTGGGATTTCCCCACAAGGAAACCAGAACTGCTGYCAGCCAGGCTGCTTCTCTGGGAAAACAGCAAAGTTTGGGAAAACAGCAAAGTGGGAGCAGGGCAGAGGTTGGCAGCACTGCATGGGCTGTGCTCCTGTCTCTCCAAAATGCTGCAGAGCAATGCAAGGAAAATGTGAGCTGTTGGATGGTGTGAGGGTCCCTCCAGGCTCTACTGCAGCCAGCTGCTTTCTGCTGGTGAAACCTCAGGCTTTGCTCTACACAGGGTGAGGCCTGAAGGGATGATGACAAGGCTGTTGACCTGCTAGAGGGTTGTAAAAATAACAGTGACAAGTCAGTTGTAACCCAGGAGAACTGTGTGCCAAGTTCCAACACCAGGATTGCAATTATGCAATCACAGCACAAATGGAGTGCTAAATATAACCGCTCCCCAAGCAAGGAGATCCACCACGTGCAGAATCTTAACTTCCCTTTACAACTGCAACTGTTCCAAAAATGTGGCACTACTCACAAAACCACGGCATTTGGCAAAATCTTGAGCAGCCAAAAGCCCTCACCTCACTTGCTTCAGTAGCAGAAAATTATTTAAGATGATTAATTTGGGATGTGTAACTTGGTATTTAAATGTCCAAGAAAATAAATACCTTATTTTTTAAATGGAATTTAGACCATTATTAACTCCACCTATCCTGAAACCACCCATGAGCTGATAGCTCATTATTCACCTCCTCATAAACCACAGCCTGTGCTTTTGATTGCTTTTTCATAAGAAAGGAGAGCAGTAGCTTTGCCTATTTTTCCAGAAGATGCTGTGGGTTTGAAATAGCTCTGTGCAGACAGATCTCTGCCTGCCATTTCTAGAGCTGTGCTGATCTCTGCCAGGGAGGAGGATGGTGTGATACCAGCACAGACAGAGTTGGTGTTTGAAGTTGTGCGTGACATACGAGACAAGCAGAAATGATTTCTCTCTTCTTAAGAAGAGAATTATTTTCCAGGGAATTATATTAGGTGACAAACCAGAACAACGCAGTGAATCGCTTTCTAGTTCTATTTTTTTTCAGATGTTGGTTCCCTTACTAAAAAAAAAAAAAAAATTCTTTCAGTGATTTAAATTCGTTTTCAACTTACCACATTGTGGGGTATCTTGTATCCAGGCAGATATTTAACGTTTTCATGTTCCTGGTTGATGATTTCTGAGAGTTTTCGTCCATTAATGATTTCTTCAAACACCCACATCTTGACAGTGGGATCAAATCTGTTGGACATCTTGACATTTTGGCCAATGATTCTTGCTATGGCTGATCCCCTTAAAAAAAATAAAATAATAAAATTATGAAAAGGGAAAATGTACTTTTACTGTGAATTGGAAACAYGAGTTACTTTAAGCATCATAGCTCATTAAAAGCCTCTATTATAAAGCTGTCTAGGTACTTACAACATTTATCAGAAAGCTTCATCACTACCTCCATGAAGAGCCCCTCAAGTTTAAAAACAGAAAAAGTAGAACAGGGGAAAAATGTAACTGCAATAAGGGATCTAAAGCAATGTCAAAGGTCATAGAGCAGGAGTGTGGTGCACCATCAACAGCACTAAAAGTACAGTATCTGAGATTAAAATTTCTCTTGCTCCTCAGATAATTCTGTTTTTTCAAGATSAATAAAATTAAAGTAATCCAGGTGGTAAATAAGTACTGAGCAATCTTGCCATGACAGCTTTTGTTCATCTCATGTAAAATAGATGCATCCCACTTTTCTATCCATAACCTAACCTTGCAATAAGGATTTTACATAAGAGCTAAATCCTCAGGAAGAAAACAAACAACCCTTCAACCTGATGGTTTCTCTTTACTTTTTTTTTCTAATTAGCACTGTAACAGGACCTGTGATACTTGCAGCCTGAGGATATTTTAACCATCCAGTTTACTCATCATGAGTCATGCTGAGCACTTGTAAATTTTAGGTCAGACAATAATTTTATTTCCCCATCATTACTGCAGCCTTGAAAATACTGGCATGGCAAGGGAGAATTAAAAACTCCACAGAAAATATTGGAAGTATTGCTTAATGCTCTTTAAATGATATCCATTGTAATGCTACTTTAATCTTTCAGGTATTGGCCATTTTACCAACAYAACTGAGAGAGAAGCTCCAGTTGCACCCCACTTGTTCTCTGACCCACTTGTAACACACCTGCAGCAAGGAGCATGAATAGTATTTAGCTGTGGTATGTATTCTAGAGCTGATAAAGTTCTTGGGGATATCAAAGTCCTGCTAGGTCTGTGCTGTCAATGATTCAAAGGGAACCCACATTGTAACTGGCCCTCCTTGGCTTACCCATGTTTTTGATGTAACAGGTTTGCACAATGTTACATTGCTCAATAAGTAATAAAAGCCGTAGATCTTAATCCTTAATGATAAAGAAATCCTGCCGAGATCAGATTTCACTTTGTTCAGTGTTGATTATATGCTATATTCTGAGCTGCTGTAGTATTTTTTTTTATTCAGTTATTTAGTTTGAGGTTTTTTTTGCTTGGTTTGTGGTTTTTGTTTTGGGGTTTTGTACTGTTTTGGAATTATTTGGTCTGGTCCTTTACAATATTTGGGGAAATGTTTAAAGGGTAAACCTTTATTGCAAGAGTTCTGCTGCTTTGAAAGAAAGGTATGCAGTTATATCATATATTCAAATTGTTAATAAAATTGATTATATTCTGGTTCTCTTGCCCAGCTATTAACAGAGAGCACATTCAAACTTTGAGCTGAGTATGAATTGTGGCTCCACATAAGAGATGTGTATTAATAAGAAAAAGAGGGTTTTTTTTTTAAATAAAATTGAGATCTAAATTCATTGTCTAGGTTGTCCAGCACAACCTGTATGATGAATTTAGACCTCGAGTCTACCCATAAAAATAACTTTTCTAGCTATGTACCAAGAACATAGGATTTTMTGTTGAAAGATGCAGACTCCAGCTCAAATCCCTGAAATCCTGAGTGGGACTTGCAGCTCTCAGTAGATAAATCTGATCTTCTGGCAGAGCTGTCATTGCCATTGTGTTTGGATTTTGCTACCCAACTCTTTAGCTATTTATAAGTTATCAGTGAAGGCATCTTGGGCATAAAAGTAGCTCCATTACTAGCAGTATTTTCCTTTGTTTCCTCTTTAGATCAATGAAGGTGTGGGGGAGAAAGGGTTTGATGTTTAAGAGGCATTGAACAGTCACAGGGAAAATACTTTGCCACAAAACCATCAAACTGTTCCAAAGCTGATGCTCTGTTTGCTCAGTCCATTTAGAATTCAGTCTCTGCTGGTCAGCCTTAGGAAGATGAACTGCTTTGTCTGTGCAGGCAATRTTTGATAACTACACGGGCTTGGCAAAATAGAGCGGCTTCTGCAAGCAAAACCAGGGATGCTCACATATTTTACCATGGTTTATTTTCTCCAAAACTCAGTTCAGTGAAGATTAAYAGAAGGCAGAGAACTCCACTTTGGTCACTTTAAAAAAATGAAAGCTGCCAGTTTGATATTTTTTCCCAATAATGTTAATTTGGAAAGGATTTGCATACTGCTAAGAAAAAAAAAAAACCTTTTATTTTTATCCAGAATTACTCAAATTATATCCATTATTTACATTTGGGAATATGAAGCTGTTTGTAACTACATCAGATCTGGTGAAAAACAGAGCTCAGTGAGCCCAGGATGCAGCTGGTCTCTTCCTTCTGCAAAGGACAGGCAAATGTACTTGTGGCATTCCTAAAAGATCTTCTCAGGAGAGTTGCAGGTCTCTTCCCTTCCCCAATTASCCCATGCCAGCACTTTGCTATCCTTAACATTAGTAAGATCCTTCTCAAGTTTAACCTCAGTCTTCCTCACCACAATTTAAACCCATTTCTGTTCACAAAAKGTGGAATATTTTTGTTCGGCTTAGGTTCTTGAAGATGTCTTTTTTCAATCTCTTTCTTAACCAACCACACAATTTTTTTAAAATTATAGTATTGTTCAGATTGGAAGGGACCATGAGAGGTCTCCAGTGTGGGAACATCACTGAGTTCAGATGGGGCTTTGTTCATTTGAGTCTTGAAAAYTCTCCAAGGACCACCTCCTCTCTGGTCAACCTACACCAATATTTTATTGTTCTCATAGAGATTTTTTTCTCCTCTCTTTATAAACTGAGTCAGAACGTCCTCTGGTTCAATTTAAAACCACTGGCTCTTGTTTTCCTTCCATGCATCTCCCTAAAAAGCCTGGCTATCTGTCCCTGTCAAAGACAAGAACCCAGTTCAAGCTGGATCTTTGCAGAGAACTCTGCAGTCCAAATAAAAATGAGACTRGGAGACCCTTTGGATTCTGAGGGGCCAGGCAGTGAATTAAAACTCTGTTTTAAAAAAGCAGAYAACTGAACCATGATTAATGTAAACACAAACCCTCCTGCACCTACTGACAAGCACAAAATGCAGTGCAGCACTTGCTTCGCTCAACCATATCACTCATGAGCCTCCTGGCACTGTTGACTTAGCAAGTCCCTGTGACCTGCTGAACTTCTGCAGCTGACATGAGCTTTTGCAACGTTGTGTGTCACGTGTCAACCACGATTCTGAGCTGCAGGAAAGCCTCAAGAGCRCAGATCTGAACTGCCACCCAAATATTCACGAGGAACATAAGAAAGAAAATGTTTGCCAAAGGTAAACATTGTATTTCTCTGTAGAGCTAAAACAACCTGTTCTGCCACCGAGGGTATGAATAGATGTGATTCAAACATCTGAGAACAATGTTTATGTCCTCCCTGAGGATTTCAGAGTTTATGTTTATGATAGGAAGCAAGAGATGGGCCCAGACAGACAGGCAGAATGAATAAGGAGATGGTATGGAATGGGCTGGGGTCTCAGTATCTCTRTGGTTTAGCCCTTTCCAAGTTTGTAGGTACACGTGGAAAAACAGAACTTTCTTGAGAACAGATCTGAATACAATTAAGTGACTTTAAAGGAAGTCTCATGAGAAGGGGGCAGCCTGGGTAAAGCTGGAGGTCCAAGCTTGAGAATSCAGCAATAGAATGATGAAAGTTGTGACTGTGGGCTGACCAAAGGTAAAAAAGTTGACTCCCAAACAGGCAGTCATGGCTCTTGAGGGCTTGGAAGGGACAATATCATGCCTGCACAGGGAGATGAAGGACAAGAAAGTGGTAGGGAGAGGGATCCCTTCTCTGAAATGGCATGATGAAAGGAGCAGTTGAGGAAACAAATGATAAGGCCAGAGAAAGCCAGAAGTATGACAATGAGGTCCGGAAGATTTAGCTGTGCAGTCCCACGTGAAAGGCTGTATCTGAGAGACATCATGCACAAAGAGAATGCATGTTTTTACAAGGCAGGAAGGCAGAGAGCTGTGCTTAACTCTGCTGTGCTCTCAGTAGCTCACGAGCAACCACTCCCTCACTTATTGATTCTTTTGGCATTTACTTCCACTWAGCTGTCACATATTTTTAAAATCTTAAGGAGCTTGCCCTGCTTGTACAAAAACAATCCCCAGAGCTACCTGGAGGCTGTGTTTGCTAATCCTGAATGCGTGTGCATGCACGTTGGTGTGTTTGGTTGTGTTCAGTGTACAGAAAGTGTAAGAAAAGTAAGATGCWAAGTCCTGTGAGTTGGATTTACTGACCTCACTGGGGTCTGTCAGACTCAAGGAGCYCTGGAGACCTGTGCTTTTTTTTCAGGCTAGAAAGGACTGAGTGCTAGCAAACATATTCTTAGGAATGAGGATAAGRATCAATGGGAGACCTGAACACAACGCTGTGTCAGCAGCAAGATGCTCAGGAGGRTGGAAGTGAAAGGTGCCAATACATCGTGGCTTTAAATGAAGCCTGTGCCCCGGTTCCTTCAGAGGAACACAAACAGCATCACCACTCTCCTCACTGCTGAACCGCCGAGGCCCTGCCGAGGCACACACAGCGACAGAGCTGCAGCTCCGGGCCTCTCTGCCTTCTGTCGCCGGGCTTCGAGTGGCACACACACCTGGGGTGATGCGGGAGCCTCACGCCTCTCCAGTTCTCATGGACTGGTGCATCTCCCGGGGACAGGACGGGGCCGGGGTCTCGCTTTCAGGACCATGGAGACGCTCCGCGCCCCGGCCCCGCCGCTCCCCGCACCGCACCTGTTGCGAAGCCTCCGCGGCGGGAGGAAAAACCGAGGAAGGAGCGGGGCAAAGAGGAGAAAAGGGGAAAGACACGGGGGGAAAATGGGAGAAGGGCAAAGGGAGAGCTCGCCCGCCCTGCAGCACTCACCAGTTCCCCGAGCCGACGATGCAGACGCGAAGCGGCGACATCCTGCGGGCTGCGTCCCGCCCGCGGGGCTCGGCTGGGCTCGGCTCGGCGGGCTCGGTCCCTCCCGGCCGCCAGCACCGCCCCTGCCGCCCGGCCCGGCCCCCGGCGATGCGGGAGGGACGGGCGAGAGCGGGCGGCGGCTCCGGGAGAGCGCCGGGTCCTTCCCGGCCCCGCCTGCGGSCCCGGCGGATGCTCTGCCCGGGTCGCTCCTTGCGCCGAGGGAATGCCCGGCGAGSGTGCTGGGAGCGGGGGATTCAGTGCCCTGGGAGGGGAAACGGGGAAAATGGTGCCTTCTCCGGAATTTGCGGGGATAATCCTGCGTGAGTGTAGCGGGAAGCCCTGCACTTCTCGTGGGGTGGGACCGTCCTTCCCACCGGCAGCCCCGCTGTTTCGGTCGGGTGGGTAACGTGGCAAAGTCCGTGAGGGACATAAGCTGGGSCCTTCCGGACAGTGAGAGACATCTCAAAGTCCCACCTGCCCTGCCCCACAAATAGTAGTGGTATCCTTTGGATACCTAAGGAACACACCAATATAAGTCATAATCATCTCATAAATCCTRAACTATATCACAGTTCTTAATATGGGACATTCTGCAAGGAAGGACAAAAAGGAGTGTTGGTCCTTTTCTCCCACATCGTTTAATCATGGTGTTAACACCCTATAAATGACCACMTTTTACCTCTCAGCCCTGTAGCAGACCCTGTCTCCTCTTCAAAGCATCCTTCTCTCTTGTTTTTGAGCCAAAGGTGGCATTTGCCACCTTTCCTGCTCTTGTTCTGCTGCTTCCTCTTATCCTGCTGTGCCCAAGCTCCCTTCCCCGCCGGGGGCTGTGGGCTCAGCAGTGACCACATCTGCTGCCCTCGCCCCAGAGCTTGGCTCAGTGGGTTGCTGGCTCTGTGGGATGTGGACACCTGACCCTGATTCAGAGAGGGAGGCTGGCTGCCAGCAGTGGAGAAGCCTGTGGGTGTTTCTGGAGGTACACATATGTTCATCTCGCCTGCCATCAGCTCCACTGGCTGAATTATTTGGTGAGTCCTGATAGCGATGTTAAAAAAAAAAACCAAAACAAAAAAACAAACCTGGGGCAAAATCCTGCAAAATAATATTTGGAAAAAGTAACCAGGACAGGTTGCTGAAAAGGAAAGTGGGACCCTGGGCATGTGTGAAGCCTGATGGGGATTCTGCAAGAAGATGCATTACCTGCAAGCCCAGTTTGAGCGCAGCTAAGATGCAAGAGCCTTTCTCTGGTTCCAGGTACTTTTCCTTCTGCATCCTGCTTGTTCATCATGATTTGCTTCTTCCTCTGTGTCCCTTCACTCTCTTGTCCCTTTAACTCACCTTCCTCTTGAGTTGACCTAAAGTGGAGTTGAAGAATAGCCATCATCCTTCTTGCCTAGTTTCTCTGCTTGTTGTAAGCTCTTCTGTCCTGGTGAGTGTCCAGGCCCCAAGGAGGGGACACATTCATTGAAGAACTGGCTTCTGCAACTAATTCATGCCACAGAATACGTCCCTGGTCTGTATAATACATAAGTATTGCAAACTCTCTAGCRGTTTTGTGTAAATCAGTGTGGAAASTTTTAATTACAAAGGAGAACTGTATCAGTTTGATGGCCTCTGGACTGATTTAAGTGGCCTCCACATTGAGGATGCAATGACCATTTGGTTGGTGCAGATAAACTGGCAGGGGAYGAGCAGGCAGATGGAGACAGCAGCACTTGGGAAGAGCAGAGGACACAGCCTGGGACTGTGAGTGCACACATTAGCTTATCCATCTGTGACACTAATTGGCTGTGGGAGTATATCACTGTGCTGCTGCTGGATTTGAGTGCTCACTGCTCCGTGGAGATGGATAGGGAAGTATTCACCTCCCAGGGACTGTTTCAGGTGGTCTGYGGGCAGTTTTAGATGTCAGGTTGGGATGTCAAGGCTGTCTCAGTGGCAGTGTTGTGTGGGGCCCTGAGAAATGGGTCCTTTGTCAGACTGCAGAGCCCCGGAGCCACAGAGCACACACTGGCGGGTGCTGACGACTGTTGTTTTATCAGGCAATGGGAAGGATCTGCCCTTTCCCATGGAGGCTCCATGTTTGTTTTTCACATAAGCCCAGGAGCTCTGTCTCTGCTGTGTGAGTCATTGGTACATAACTGACATAAAAGCTCAGTCTGCATAAAAAGGGAGGCTAAAGACAACTGTTTTAAGGCCACCCCCACTTAATCTCACCTGATCTYCCACAAGTTATGGGTCATGCACATGACCCAGAGATTACACAGCTGAACCATATTCCTCTGCAAACAGAAAAACCTCACTGTCAGTGYGGCAAAGCGACAGGAGATTTTGCTAAGCCAGGTGTGGCTCTTCCTATGGTGGCAATGCAGTCTTTGAACGTCCCAAAAAATGTGACTGAGAAATGCCAAACTCAGTATCCATCTTAAGGCTGGTTAGGAATTTTGCCCTCTCTTCTCCTACTGAGAAGGTGTTTGAAACAATTATTCCTCTCACAGTGAGAGCCCTTCTTCCTCTTTCATACCCAGCCTTGCCCATCTGCTCTAGCACAAGTGCTGTCTATAAATGTGAATTATTCTTCTCCCCTGGTGTTTTTTCTCCCTGTCTGCCTGACTAAAACCTCAAATGTATTTGCAGAGAGGAATCAGACCCCATCTCACCATTCATTTTGCCAAGCTCAGCAAGACATTCTCTCTTAGTTATTCCTCTGATTATCTGGATGTCACTTCTTTGTACCTATTCCAGGATGAATTCAGGYTTGCTGAACACTGATAACCTGAATGATCCCCAAAAATTTCAGCTGAATTTTAACCAGTGTCTTGTATATATTTGTTTATTGTTCCTGAAAATACATGGYTTGCTACATGTAAGACTTAATTGATCCTTTTAATAACTACATTACACACACAGTTCTTCCTCTTCTGTTGTTCATAGTGGATAAATTATAATTTACAGCAGAAATGTTACCAATCTCTCAGTACATATCCCTGCATTATATGTTGTTACATTTCTTCCCATGTCTGTTATKAGGGCATAGCTTACATATAATTCCTCCTGTAGGATTTCCTCTCTATTGAAAATATCTCCCAACTTTGTTATTAGCAAATTTCATKACTTCTTGTATTTTTATTACTTCTTGTATTTTTGTATTACTTTTTGTATTTTTTTGCTTCAAGCTAACTAATGAAATTACTCTGACTTGCTAAGACTGATTCTTCCAGTCCTACAATTTTGCTCTCAGCCCCTTCAGCAGTTTTCACTCCCAGTTCTGTTCCTTCAACATTTTATAGTGTCTATATTAATCCTCATCTTCTTGAGYTTAACTAATAATTATCTAGGTAATACCAAATCAAATGCTTTACCAAAGTCCAGGTAGATAAGATTTATTATTTTTCCTTTGTTCTCATATGCCATTATCTTATCAAAGAAAGACATTGACCTGGTCTACATAYAATGTGCCTAATCTACACTTTAACCCATTTTCTGCTTCCATTTGTGTCTTTTGTTACTCATGGCTAGCATTTGCTCTAAAAAGCCTAAAGGTGTCATTGATGGAGATTATTCAATATTCAGAAGTGAAGGGTAAAGAGCCGTCAAGTTTTGTGGGTGTGTTACAGAGTTATTTCCATTTTCATGCTCTTTAGCCTCTGTTCTCTGGGGTTAGTTACATTATTTTCCTTACAGAGTCTGAAGGAATATCTTCCATTAACTTTTAGGTATCTGCTCTGSGGTTGTTGTGGGCAATGCTTTCCTTCATTTCCTTTGCAATCATGCAGTAAATCCTTTATGTCCTTGTTTTCCTTCCCTGTGCAAATCTGGTTCATTTTGATTTTGAGTCGTACCTTTAATTCTGGATGTTTGAATGACGGTTTTCTTTGCATATCACTTCCTTCTCCTTTTTTTTTTCACTAGACTTTCTGTGTGAGATGTCCTGCACAATCTGCATCACAGTCCACATCTAGTGGAGGCATCTGGAGCAACTGGCAATACTTGGTCTTATTTTGTCTCATCTCTTTGGRTAGAAGATTCAAGGAGCCTCTTCTGTCTTGTGACTACGTGAAAGCAAAGCAGAATATGAATTTTGGACTCCCTGGGATGATGATCAGATAGCATTGCTCCTCAGCATCTTAAGGAATCCAGACTTCAGAGTTTAGGGAAAGAGGAGCTGAAAATTGAGGTTTGATTTTTTTATTTTCCTGAGCCTTGTGTGCTGATATCAACAGGACTCACACACTCAGTTTTCTCACCTGTGAAGCCATAGGTAGAGTTAAGTTTGGGGTAGGTCTGGAGTTTAGAACAAGGGTTCCCAATGTCAGCCTTGATGTGTGAGAGGAGCTCACCTATTGTGAGTGTCCAGAGAAACCTTCCCCAGGCTGGTTTTAATGCAGAACATTAAAAACCTACCGCTTCAGCTCTACCCAAAATGCAAGGGCTGTGCCTGACCTTCACCTTGCACTGGACAGCCTAGTGGGCTGCACTGGCATCAGAATTACTCAGCTATCACAGACCTCTTCTTTTTCCACGGGAAAATTTTTGTACATAAGCTCTCCCTGAATTACATTCTAAACAGAAGATTTGCATGCATATGTAAGCACAAAATTATTATGCTTGATTACTTTTAATTATAGGTAGTAAATAATAACCATTTATACTGAGGTAGTATATAATATCTCAAAAAAACCTCTGCCAGGATTTTAGGTACAAATAAAMAATGTCAGTTTGTGTTCCTAAGAGCTGACAGCCTAAATTATTACAGATTTACAGCTTCCACCAGGACTTCTTGCAGTTTGCTTTTACTCACTCATGGGTTCTAGAAAACCAATCAACAGTGAAGTTTTGGCTCCTTTCATTTCACTTAGTTGAATTTTCTGCTGCAGGTTTTGTTCAGATTATATAAGAAGAATGTTTTTTTTCACACTTAAGTATCCCCAACAACATACTTAGCAGAAAACGAGACAGGATAGGATTTTAGCTGTATAGAAAYCTACATAATTCCAAGCAATTTTAGKAATTCAMGCAGAAYAGACTGAGAGGCCAACTGTAAACAATCCATAACCTTTAGGGCTTTCTGTAATCCAACA